TCTGAACATATCCCATTATTATGCAATGTATGAATGTCTAGAAAATCATTACATTGTACATTTTTAATATATTACAATTTTATTGTCAATTATACCTCAAAAAAGCGAAAACAGAAAATTACTATTTTTTAATCCCTAAAGAAATAATGGATCTAATTAATGATCATCAATGGCTGTGAAAACCAAAACTCAAGATTAACGGGGACTTTTATAATGGATGGATCAGGCTGACAGTTCCTGACTATCACATCAATTTTAAGGTAAGTGGGACAACCAGACACTATGTGTTTCCTGTTTTATGAAATAGAAAATAAACAGCCCTACCAATAAAGTATTCTTGCCAAAAGAAAAAAAAAATTAACCTGAATTGAATCAAGCTTTTGGATCTATCTAATGTTTACAGAAAACAGCAAGGATAGACGAAGCAGTTAAAACACGCTATGAGGAACCAAAGGTCAGAAGATGGGAAAATCTATTTGACAAACAATATGGTTTCTTTAACAAACAAATAGCATGAAAAGGGGCTAGTGTGAAGAGAAATGTTACATATTAAGAGCAACATAAGAGATAAATAAACCAAATGCTATGTACAAAACTTGTTTAGACCCTGATCAAACAAATCTTCTGTAAAAAGGCGTTTTTTAGACAATCTGGAAAGTTTGAACAGGAACTAGTAGATAAAATTAAGGGGGTTATTCTTAATTTTGTGAGATACGAGAGTGAGCTTGTGGTTAAGCAAAAGATGAAAATCTTTACCTGTTGGAGAAATATGCTAAAATATTTATAAGGGAAATAATCCAGCTCTACCCCACCCCTAACCCTTAAAAATGCCCTCCAAATATGGGAAAATTTCTCTTTAATAGAGTCTTTAAAGCATTCTCTTATTCATAAAAGCATCTCAAACTAAAAAATACTGATTTATTTAAACATAAATGAACCACCCCTAGAGAGAAAAACTCATTGTTGCTATTTTTACAATACCTTTCTACAACATGAATACAATGTCCTTTTACATTAATTTAAAACTCACATTACCAATTTCTTAAAGTATATCATGATTCCTTTCTGGCTTTGCCTCCATGTGAACAGAAAGATGGACTCTACACTGACATGTCCTTTATTTGCTGCAAGCTTATAATATTTGCATAATAAATTGGAGAGGAAAAAAATCAACTCAGTTCAATAGGAACTGAGAATAAACATGCATGATTATGTTTGTCCTGATTCGGTCATCTTATACACATATATAATAGATATTCATAGTCTTACCCACAACCCATAAAAGATCAATTCCCAAAATTATAGAATGTTTATTCTCCATAAAATTTTAGTTAGAGCTGCATCATAGCTGATTCGTTTGGCTGTTTATGATATGTAAATTAGTTTCAGAATTTACTATAGTCTTTGATGGTGATAGATGACACTCATAGTCAACCAATGATAGATGAAACCAGTTACCATAAAATGACCGTATTATCCAGGAAAGTAAAGAACAAACATAATTACTAGGTACTCTCAACTGGGAGGCACCCAAGAATCTCTTTTGGCAAGTGCCTAAGGAAGTGCAAATTAATCATTGGCCAGTGTATTTGTTTCCTAGGACTGCCATAACAAAATAGCACACACTGGATGGCATAAAAAACAGTAATTTGTTGTCTCACAATTATGGAGGCTAGAAGTCCAAGCTCAAAGTGTTGGCAGGGTTGGTTTGCTTTCAGAGCTGTGAGGTAGAATCTGTTCCACGCCTCTCTCCTTGATTCTGGTGGTTTACTGGCAATCTTTGGCATTCCTTGGCTTGTAGATACGGTGCTCAGGTCTCTGCCTTCACATTCATGTTGCGTTCTCCTTGTGTGCATCTCTTTACATGGCATTCTTTTTATAAAGATACCAGCCATATTGGAGTAGAGGCCTACCTTACTCCAGTGTGACTTCATCTTAATTAATTAGATTTGCAATGACCCTATTTCCAAATAAGGTCAGATTCTGAGGTACTGAGGATTAAGACTTCAGCATGTCCTTTTATGGAGACATAATTCAACCCATAACAACCAGAGAGTCAAAAAATAGAAAGAGGTCACGATACCATTTTCCCCAGGCCAGCTAGTAAAGGTCTGCTTTCTGATTTTATACAAATATTTAGATATTTGTCCCAGTCATAGCAGAAGAAAGTGTGTAAATTATAGACTTCATAAGTTAGACTACAAGTTTCCGCTGCTCTAACAATGAACCATAACAGTGAAAGATGAAATGTAAGCTTATTTTCCCTTCAGTTAATCACCTGAGAATAAGTAGTTGAGGGATGATTTGACCATCAGGGACCCAGGCATCTTTTATGTGATTGCCATCTTTAACATGAAGCTTCCATCTCTGGGCTCAAGATGGCTGCTCCAGCTCTTGCCATCACGTCCATTACCGAGGAAGGGAGTTGGAGCAAGGGGGTATATGACTATTCCTTTCGAGAGTACAAGTGGGGAAAGAGAACATGTCACTTCTCTCATCTCGCTGAATAGAACGTAGTTGGATGGCTATACTAGATGCAGTCCTGGGCTATACCCAGGCTGAGAAATGTAGTCCTATCCTTGTGACCAATTAGAACTATGACTATGGAAGAATGGGAGAGCAGATATGGAAGGGCCACTGACTGTCTCTGCCACATCTGATCAACCCAGTAACTGCTCCTCGACATTTGTACTTTCTACTATTCTTAGAAATTTCTCACTTTCAAGTCGCAAAGGCTTAATTCCATCTCAAACCCTTTCAGCTTCTCTGCAACATTTGATATAGTTGACCTTCTTCAAATTCTTTCTTTCTACTCTCCTAAGTCTCCTAATTGTTTCTTTTTCTTAGCAATATTATTTCTGGCCCTCCCTCTTCTCCCCTTTCCTAAAAGTAGATATTCCCTAAAGTCCTGTCATCTCAAGCTATTTTCATCTCCCTATATGCCCCCCTTCTTGAGAAGTCATCAGCTTCCTTGATTTCCACTATTGCTTTTAAATTGATGCTTCCCACATCTCTATGCAATCATCCCTCGGTATTCATGGGGGATTGGTTCCAGGAACACCCCCTCACCCCAGCCCCCACCTCTCCACCCCCACCGATACTAAAATCCACAGATGTTCAAGTCCCTTATATAAAATGGTATTTCCTATAACTTATGCACATCCTCTCATGTATTTTAAATCATCTCTAGAACACTTAAAATATCTAACACAATGTAATTGCTATGTAAATAGTTGTTGTAACACATTGTTTAGGCAATAATGGCCAGAAAAAAGTCTGCACATGTTCAGTACAAACATAACCATCATAGGCCTATCCATCTGTGTTGGTTGAACCTGTGGATGCACAACATGGATATGGAGGGCCAAAGGTATTTTGTCCTACTTTCTCTCCGACGGTTCCATTCCACACGTCCCACTGTGTGCTGGACTTTGATACTTGGATGTCTTGTCAAATGTCAGACATGCAAAACTAGATTTATCATCATCCCTCTGAAATCTTCTTCCTTTTACTTTGGCTCTTGTTTATACTGTTATTATCATCTGATCAGTGTTCAGGGTTTTTATTTTTTAAAACTCTGTCTTTCTCCCCCTCTCCATCCAGTCAATCAGTGTCATGTCCATTTCAACTGTAGAGTTTTATACCTTCCCACCTTCTGACCTTTTCCTAAAGCTGGCTCTGGTTCTGACCTCCATTATCTCTCGGTCTAGACCACTGATAGCCTCAGTTATCCCTCCATTCCAATTCTTTCTACCCTAATATCAGAGATGTCAAAAGCACAACTTGGAAAAAGATCAGGTAAAGCATAATGTCTCTGGGGAAAATCACATATTCAGTTAACAATGGAGGATTTTTTAAATTTCCTACTCTTTTCCAGATACTTTTATGCATCATCTTCTATAATAGTGAAACTAAGTTAATTAACAACTAAGTAAATGAAGCGTATACCATATGCCAGGCACTGTGCCAACAACTTTACCTCATTTTAATCTCACAAACTAAAAAGCCAAGTATTTTTATTGTTCTCACTTTATACGTTAAGAAATTGAGATGCATCAAGAAACTGGTTTTAAGAAATTAAGTAATTTACTCAGGGTCTGACCCTGGATAAATGATAGAACTAGGATTTGAACCAGTTAGTTTCTAGAATATCCTCACTTAATCATTAACTTATGCAACCCCATAGCAATCATAGAAGGTCATTATTGCTATCACCATTTCATAAACCAAGATGTTAAGTAACCCTCCCAAGGTCAGAGCCATAATTCATTCCAAGTTGACCAGACTCCAAAGCCTAGGTTCTTTCTTTCACTTTGTATAACTTTCCATTTATGTCTCATGGTTATGCTACCCTTCAGTCTCCGTGAGATATTTTGCATTTGTGAAATAGAGATTAAGAGGAGCTGATAAAAGAATGGCAGTGGGTCAGCACAACACCATCCACAGATTTGGAAAGACATCCAAAGTATATTCTCCTCATCATGATGGCACCAACTTTATTTATAAAATCATACACGCTAGTTTATTGAAATTCTACTTAAGGATGCCTTTCTCTGTATTACCATCTAGGTTCATTGGCCATTTAGGGGATGCAGTGAGTCCCTGTTTGACTTTTTTCCAAGCTTGCAATTGCTGAGATTTTAAGTTCTTGAGTTCACTTAGCTTACCCTAGTCTTAAGCAAAAAGTAAATCTGTTATATGGAATAGGAAAGTTACAATAAAACGGAGTATATGGTCAGCTTAATCTTTCCTGACACCTGGGTCCAGGCAGTGGGGTAGTAGATTTCCTGTTCTCCTCTGGCTAGTTTTGAGCCAATATCCCAGACTTCTAGTTTGCTCATGATCCTAAAACACAGCCAGAAAAAAAAAATCAACAGAGGCTGGATCTCTGATAACTTGGAACTATGCACTCCAAGGTACTTTCAAGTTTATGTGGGTGGGTCAGTTTTTTCATATTTATAAGTACTTATAAGATACAGACTGAAACTCTGGACTCCATCTAAAGGGAGAGAGTGATCTTTATTGGCTGTATTTTCCAACTTAGTAGATACAAAAACCAAAAGGAAATCAAGATTTGGAAACATCAGTGGACAGAAGCAAAAGAAGTCTCTTAATAAATTCAATTCCAAGAGACGCGGTTACAGCCCATGAAGACAGAAGGGTGATACCCAATGTCACTGGAGACTGGGAACAAAAATCAGTTTCCTTGGTTATAAAAGATGTGTTTTATTAGTAAAGCAAAGAGAAAATACATTCAAGCACATATGTTATAAGTGAAAGTCTCAAGCGGGGAAAATGCTAATACAAATATAAAACCAAATTGCTATTTATGAAGGCAAAGTTTAGTGCTCCATCTCTGACCACTCCTCCCTTGCACCCTAACTACAGCCTTGATAAACCACTCGGCATTCTCTCTACCTGGAATAGTCTACTTGTCCTGCACACGTGCATGTCAACAACCCATGCACACACACACACCCCATTATCTTTCTCCTAGCTAATATCCTTTAGGTCTTAGCTTAGATGTTATTTCTTCCAGGAAGCCTACTGTAGTAACCCAAGACCATTTAAGGTGCCATCTCCAACACCACAAACTACTGTAGCAGTATGAGTCACTCTGTACAGAATTGCCTGTTTACCTGTCTGCTTCTTCCATTGAACTTTAAGTTCTTTGATTGTAACAACTTACTGCGCCTTCATCATTATTGTATCTTCAGGGCTTAGCATAATGCGTGCCACAAAGTATATAGGTGTTCAATATAAATTTGCTGAATGAATGCATACATTTTGTAATATAGAAAGCAAGTTCTGTCATCATCAGGATTCTAAGATGCATTCTTTCTAAAATGCATTTCCTGAGATAAAACTAGTTCCAATTATTTCAAAGGTCCGTTAAGTTGGATATGCACATATTATTGCTTGCCTATTGTGGTGACCACTAGGACTGGTCACAAAGACACTGCTTCTGTCCTTTACACAGTGAAATGTGAGGAGTGATGTGTGTCACTTCCAGGTAGAAGCTGAAGAGCTGGTGCATGATTCCCCATGGCTACTTCCCCCAATCATGAATGCATATGTCTCCTTCCCCTAATTATAGAAGCATATTTTAAATCAGAGCCTGTATCAGACGGAGACCATGAACGAGAAGATATAGGAGAAATCCTCCAGGTGACCCCAATCGACATGTGGTGAGATCAAGAAGTAAATCTCTAATGTTGCAGCATAGGAAACTCATTTTGGCTGGCACACTTACAGAACACAGCTACTTCCACCACCTCTTCTTTCTTGCTATCAGAACTTGCCTTCTTCTCTAGAGGTAGAAAATGCCAAATATTCTCTTTCTTAGCCTTCCTCGAGGCTCTGTGACAATTCTGGACAAGGAAATGTAAGGGAAATTCTACCTGTGTTTCTAGTGAATATTTCTCACCTTCCAAAAAGAGATTCTGAGGAGAATGCTCCTCTCCCTTTTTGCTGCTGCATGCAACTGCATGAAGACTTGAGGCGGCCACTTTTTGACTGAAAGGACAAACCTAAGAATTAAAGTTAATAAGCTAAGAAAAAAGCCAGCAACATCATTGAGTGGCTTCGCCAAACCTGAATTTGTCTTGTCAATACTTACTGCTACATGAGATCGTAAATGTCTTTAGTGTTTAGACCCCTTTGATCAAGAATATTTTGTTACTTACAGATGAATGCATTCTAACTAGTATGGGGAACATGCTAATTTTCCTCTCTGGCATCACACATGGCATGACATTCCAAAAGCCAGTATAAACCAGCAGGTCAGATTGGGATACCCAGGAACCAAAAGCATTATTTGAAAGAACTAAAGACATGAAAAGATCATCTAATGATGCAATCTTTTGGCTAAAGATGATGTCCATGTACTAATATTAGAAAAGAACAGTTTGCTTGCTTAGGTTGGTGGAGAAGCATAAGAGGGCAAATTGGAAAAGGATATTCATTCTTGGCCTCTATGTTCAGAATTAGCTCATAAAACAATTTTATAATTAACTACCTGCCTAGGAAACTCTCAGTAGGAAAAAAAAAAAAAGCCCTAGTAGTAAAAAATGTCAACCATACATATTTTGCCAGTAAAACTTTGGAGGGCAGGAAGGAACTGATGAAGTGGTTCCCTCATGCTTGGGTGGTTACTTACAGACGTCATTTATATCACTTTTCAATCTGGTTTACATGGAATACACCACCATTTGTTCCATCTCTTAAAAAGAAAATAGAAGTGTTCATTTGTCACCATCACCTCTCATTAGAAAATACTTTCCTAAGTGTAATTATTAATTTACCGTCAAACATTCTTTTGAATATTGCAAATTTACATACTACTCATTGAAAAATAAAGAGGGATAATTTGGTAATTTTTGAAGAAGTCACAGCATCCTCAAAACCAGAGCAGACAGAGTACAACAAATAAAATACAGACACTTTGACATGAGAAACAAAATCTTCTCGAAAAGTGTTCTCTCACCAACCCAACCCCCTTCTCTCCACATCCTCCACCAATTTCAGGAGTTTTCTCTACATGTTTGGCTCCAATGAGCCACTCCCAGCAGCAGCCACAGACACAGTTTGGATCTACATTTTTATACTAAAAGATCAGACCAACCTCTTCATGGTGTTGCTTTATGCTCAAGTGAAGAACTATGGTATTTATCATGCAGGGATCTGGTCTTACTTTTATGTACAAACTGCAGAAATGGAACTGCATGAGTTGGAAGAGGTAGCAGCTAGCAAGAAAACAGGTTTCTGTGGTTATTTAGGGCCAAGAGTACTGATGGACAGAGGGCTGGGTGCAGAAAGATCATCAGTAGGCAATACAAAGGGTGCCTCTGGGACCGCTGCAAGTAAACAACAGAGAGTCACAGGCCAATTGAGGAAAGCTTCAATGGGAATCATGGAGGTGGTGGAAAATAATTCAAAAACTCTTCTGAGTCACGAAAAACACTTTTTAAAATTATATCATCAATTCTAATATAATTTATCTGTCTAGGGTCAACTACTTTCAGAATCACTTGTTCTTTTAGGCCTCTGGTCTTTTATACTAAATACTGTGTGATGTCATTAGGAAAAATGATCACTACCCCTTGAAATCGTCATTAGCTGATTCTCCAGTAGTTAACTTCCACAGAAACAGCCTCTAGAGCACTGAGTCATCAAAAACCATTCCAGGTTCGTTCTAATGAAATACAGCATGTTTAGTCATACATAAATAGATAACAGGTTATCATTATTAATATCATTACTATTTTCAAACTTTAAAGTCTGTTTTTGAAATAAAGGTGATTTTTCCCTAAAACGCTAAAGCATTTACACACATACAAAAAGTATGACTTGGTTTTTGGAAATTTTACTTTGCAGCCTGGGAGCTCCTAACTTGGATAATTTTAAATGCAATTAGTACTTTTAGGCAATCGATATCAGGCTGTTATATCTCATTCTTTGGGACATTAGACTGGGAATTTCATAATGCCCCAAAATAACTTTCAAGACAACTTTTTCCAAATATTCTGGAACCTCTTTCCTCCAAATTAGAGTACGCAACACAGATGATATACAAGATGTGACTCGAAGATTACTGATTTGTAAATGCCTCCTCAGAACTTATATGTTGAATCGAATATTTTCTCCTTCAAAATCGTCATCTTTTGACACTTATACATTCCTCCCAAATATGATCTCACTAATTGTCAAGGCCAGGCACTAGTACAATGTTAGGCACGAGAGTAAGTCTTAACAAATATTCTATGATTGATGGGCCCATAAGTGAGTGAGAATGAGTGATAAAAGAATACATAAGTGAATTTAGAGCTGCCGCCTTTGAGGACTCAATTCCAAGCCAGTAACACTTTCATTTTAATATCTATACTAATGGCAAAGCTTCATGGTTTTGGGGTAAATTTGATTAGTGAAAAAAGTCAAAAATCATTTAAAACAAGTCCTGGGAACGAGACACAATTCAATGGGATAAGAGCACTTAGGGAAATACGAGCCATGATCAAAATATTACAAGTTTGACTTTCTCATAACTGGGCTCTGAAAGCAATTCCAAAAATGATTTGAGCATCAACGAAACTCTGGATTAGGCATATCAATTCCAGGGCAATGGCTTTGAAAGGCTATGCTCAATACAAAAAAACTGGTATGCTCATTTTCTCTACTTGAGCTTGTATATTTGTGGTCAATGTTTATTTAATATTTTATAAATGTGGCTGGGGGAAAGGTCCTGTAGCCTTATGCTAAGCTTAAATCCATAGAACTTTATCTTTCCCATCTGTGAATGAAAGATCAAGCTAGATGATCTAAACTTTTCCAGTGCTAACATTCAATAATTCTATAAATAAATAGTTTAAACATTGTTCACACATCTTCAGCCACCTTACTAACATTTCAGACATTCCTTATTGAGGGGAATTGTCCCTTAAACAGCCACAAGTCCCCAGGGGAAGATCATGCTTTAGGCTGTAGACCATGAGATGAAAAGCTAGAGCAAGGTAAATGGGACACACACACACCTCTGTCCCATTAGCAGCAAACTATCTGTCCCCAAACAGGGACAATTATAGAAGTCATCATAATGGTTTACATTCATATGAAATCATTTATATAAATTATACAGAGGACAGTTTTTCTTTAAATGATTTGTCAACTTTTCGCTAAGTAGTTACAACTTCAAAAGTGGAAGAAGTGCTTTCAAATGAAAGTATGACAGCGGGTCTGAGAAAGTCCTGCTTCCGATAGTGTCCAAGGTATCTTATTCTGTAGCTTCCAGGCTGGGCAGTTTCTGGAATATGCCATTGTATTGTTGCATTGCTTTGACCCAGTAATCCCTTGTGCCAATAGAAACTGTTGGTAGGAAACAAACAAACAAATTCAATTTTATTCTTAAAAATGTATGATTACTCATTAAATGAATATCCAGGGAGTACATTCCATAAGCAAGGCATTATTCTAGATATTAAGAGTATAGCAATGAACAAAACAGAGACAAATTCTTACTTTTAGGGGAGGACCTTTAAGGAACAGCCATTTGTAGAAATATCTTTACTTGTTCTACCTTTCTAACTACCTAAGGAAGGTAGTTCCCAGGAAGCCTTACCTGATCTTCACAACACAAGATGACTCCTGCTTTAGAACTGCTATAGCATCCTTTTAGCCTTGTCGTCCTCTGCTTCAACTGACACTTCTTTTTGCATCAGATTCATTTGTTAAAAAAATACATATTTAATGAGCACATATGCCAGACTCTATTCTAGAGATACTGAGGATAAAGTAGTGAGCAAGATGGACATGGTGCAAAGTTTCACAGCGATTATGTTCTACCAGGGCAACCGTGGGAAGAAAGGCAATAGACAAATAAATGAACAAGTAGTTTTAACAAGTAAAATAAAGAGAGATGGAGCCATGTTTAAAGAGATGTCATTTAAACTGAACTTACACATGTCTAGAGGAAGAACACTCTAGGAAGAAGGAACAGAGAATGCAAAGTGTCTGAAACGGGAACAATCTTTGTCCAGCCAAGGAACAGAATGCAAGTCGGGATTAGGATATAGTGAACTGTGGAAGAGTGGTTGAGATAATAGAAACAGATGCAGTCAGATCGTGTTGGTCCTTATAGACCAGGACAGGGAGTTCAAATATTCTTCTAGATACCATGGGCAAACTGACTGACATCCTCAGTTATGTAGAAAACAAATCTCCCAGGCAGAAAGGGTGTGCTCAGCATTCTCTGTTTCTCAGTGATAGGCTCAGTGCTCTCAATAAATAGTTGATGACTACTGCTGATAAACAAGGCAGAAGCCTAAACATATCCCCAGTGTTGACTGCTATTCTGATTTTAGGCTTTTGAAAATAAATCATCCTTTATTATCTGTATGACCTTATTTTAATAATAAATGTATATTTATTACTTGTTTAAAAAGATCAGAGGAAAAATTATGCCTCTCTTTACGTATGGCTATCAAACAGGCTACAGCAAGGTCAAATCTCTATATTCAGTTAACCGTGTGAACCAAACCGACATACAAATAATCACTTAGTTTGAGGAAACCTGAATTAGACACAAATTGCCAAAAATTTTGCCCACTTTCATGCCATTGTCCTGTGGTGTGAAATTCATAGATTTGGGAACAGAAATATTTTCTTAATTCAGACACATTTTCAAATCTTCAAAATATCTATTCAGCTCAGGTATTTGGTAACAAAAGGCACACGGATCTGTCTCTCAGGAAACTCCATGAGCATATTCTTTTCTTATTTCAGTCACTAAGAGTCAAACACCGAAGCTTCTTGTGTTCTAGTAATTCAAATGAAGAATCTTTGACCATAAACAAACATGCAATACATGTTGGGTATAGACTTGTTATTTTTCTGGATGGAATGTCAGGTTCTACAGAGCCATCTCAACACCTTCATCCAGCACCCCTTTCAACCAATTTTCAAGAAGGCTAGCCAGCTTTTAGGGGTAACATCTGTGACTATGGAAAAAACAAAGCTATCAATGGTTATAAGAAGGGAGGCCATGACCTCATTAGCACCTAATCTTACAGAAGCACACACCACATTGTTTCATAGAAAAATAGAATCAAAATTAAGTCTAATAAATCAACTAAATATGGCCAGAAGCCTACATAGGAATTCGATATCATTAATATCATGTATTGAGCCAGTCTTTCCATTTTCCTTCCTGCATTACTAACCAACTGTGTTCAAGGCTTGAAAGACAAAATATTGAATAGACATGCTCACCGAGTCTCCCAGGAGGCATCATTATGCACTATCTGCCACGTTTGTGAAGTGGCCTCATATTTCTCCACAGTGAGGAAGGTGTGATGGGTCTGAAACACAATTATTATAACTGATCACACACTGCACAGTCACAGAAGGAACCTGTCTGTAAATATTCCCCTTGTTGACTGTACGCTAAAATGCCAATACCTTGTGTGAAAATGTGTGAGAATTTCATCTAAATTCTTAGGTGTTCCTCTTAACGTTCTATGCAGTGTCTCCAGAATGTTAATTTATCCAGAGTATTAAAAACTGTGACTTCTTTTAGAAAATTGAACAAAGCATAGTTTTAGAGCTGATAGCAAATTTTGAAAATTAGGGCAGAGAAGAGATGAAATAAAACTTGAGATTTAAAAAAGGTGTAAGTCAAACCTTTTCATGACATGTTTATTGCTCTGTATTCCAGGACTTTCTCTAGTCACCTCAAGGTTTAGGAGGAAAAATGGAAAAGTTTCCTCATCTTTCCATGTCCAGGTAAATAAATTATTAGTAAATATACCTCTTTGGGTGAAAGAATTGAAAAGGATGCATACATCTTCCTTGTCCTGGGGTGCTATAAGCAATACCTACATTTTGCCATAATGGATTCCTAATAACTAGCGCATAAGCAGGTTTTATTATCCCATTGGAAAACTGCTATCATAATTTGTTTCGGACTAAGAATTCAGCTTCAGATAAAGCACAGATTTGAATAATATAATAAATTAAAAGACACAAAGGCCATAAATCTCCAATTTTCCTCAAAAATCTTTAGATTGTGGCCCTTAAGGGCAGGACTTGTGTCTAATTTATTTTTATCCATTACAGCCCTTCACACCTGTCATTTACAGGTGTTCAAATAGACCTTTGCTGAATGGATCACTTATTTACAGCTGGACCATGGGATTATTTAAAATTCTTCTCTAATTACTCAACTGATGGATTATATTCAAGAAAGAAGTTTTCATAACCACAGTGACTTGTAAAGAGAGCTGTTTCTGGCCATTTAGGCCACAGCAACATTGGGAAGGCCTAAATGGAGTAGAAGATAGGGCTGGCCCTAGTATGTAGGTCTAGAGTACAGATTAAAGTCTGGGCTGCTGAATGTGTGAACTATGTGACTATCCTTTCCCCCCCTCCCAACCTCAATCTCTTTCACATACGCAATTAGTTAATAGAAGTTACTTAATCTTTCTTGACCTAATTATTCATCTGTAAAATAGGGATAATAAAACGTAACTTATCGGATAGTAGTGAGGATTAAATCAGATTCATGTGCTAATGTATGTAAAGCACTTCGCCTAGTACCGGCAAATAGTAAGCACTCAATAAATAGTGGTGAGGATGTGATGAATACTAATAATAAAGTGTACTAGAAATTGTTTTATGCTGAGTCCCAGAGCATTCTTAGAGATTAATTTATTCTCATTACAGTACTTTAAGCATTTTGCTCTCCTGCTTCTCCACGGCAATAATGATGAAAGTATGTCTCTACCCTAAGGCTATCAAATGACAGCTAATCCTGCAGCTTTGCTACAACAGTTTGATATCTTCAGAAAACACTATTATAAACACGTAAATATTCTGACATAGCTTGACTGCCTATAGAAAGTATTTCAAACAGGTGCATGTTGACTGTCCAAGCAGCAGAACATTTTTCCCTAAGGACATATCTGACAATGTCATATTGCCACAATTTTTACCACAGCAATAACAACATCTTAATGAACGGAAATAGGAAGACTCATTGGGAAGCAAGGTATTTTGGATTATAACTGACAGTGGGTCCTTGGAAGAATGGCTCTTTGATAGAGTAAATGCATCCTCAGCCACAGTAAAAATCTGACCTTGAAATCACTTTCATCTATCTACTCTCTATTTCTTCTATATATTTCTTTATTGTTTAAATTTTTACAACTAGAATGTATCCAGTTATCGTTTGTGTAATGATAGGAATATTATGAGTGTTACAGAGTAAAATTACTTCATTTTATTAATAGATATATTACCAATGTATATACATACCTAAAGAAGATAAAAACAAAAAAAGTCTGAAATGATGTTAAAAAACTATTAACAGTTAATACCTCTAAAAATTTTATGGAAAGAGGGTACTTTCACATTCCATTTTAAGCACTTTTATATTGTCTGTTCTTACACTGGACATGTATTTCTTGTGTCATTTTTCAATGTTAATAAATAAATATCCCATTAGTGCCAGTCACAAAGAATAGGGAAACAGCCATTGCAAGATAAAGCAAAGCACATGGGCCAGGGCTCCAAGCCAATGGAGCATCCACCCAGGGATCCATGATCACTCAACAACAGAAGAGATAGGACCAGAGGCAACGGTGCTGGAGGAGGAGGGGAGGAGCCAAAGAGGAGAGAGAAAGGAACCAAAGATGTACTTCACCCTCGGCACTTCGATTATGTTACCAAATTTAGTAGAGTTTTTAAATTGGAATACTTAAATGGGATTGTACTCAAATTTACATCTTCTCAAGAGACAATACAGTTCTCTACACATCGTGCTATACGTGGTCCTAAGTAGAGCCAATTAAATGTGTGTGCTTTTTTTCTAGACTCAATTCCACGTTAACTGTACCCACCAAAAAAGTTTCCCACACCTACAAAATAAAGTGAAAGCAAGTTGGAACATTTTATTTTTATGTTGTTAAGCTCTAGGGGGATATTCACCTACACAAAAGACTAAAAGTAGATGTTAATTTGTTTTAAAAAAAAATCACTGATGCTTACCCGATTTTCTGCTGAATTCTTTGGGTTAGCACCTACAAATGTAACTTCAGCAACTTCTCCCTAAAAATGGAAAAACATTTTATGTGCTCTAATAAAAGTAATTTTTGCTGTGCTCATATTTACACCATTATTTGTCAAATGTTCTAGAATTCTGGGTGACTATATGGATTCTATTCTATTTAATCTAGTGAGTTATCTTCTGGGAATATTAGAGAAAACATCTTTGCAACAATGGACACAGAAACTTTTGCTCAATAAGTTACTGCAGAATTTTTAGCCAATGATTTTGCTTTTGGTAGATTCAGATATAGATGAAGATATAGAGCTATAGTTCATATTAGTGACAGCACATTAAAATGGCTTCTTCAGCCATTGATATTTTCTTACACCTTCCTGCCATGCACACAAAGGACATGGACTGACTCAAATAAGAGCAGTCAAAACTTTCCATGGATGACTTATAGTTGCACTTACCCTTATACTTACAGGTATAAGATACAAGATGGAGTGACAGAGTGTGTATTTACCTTCCCACCTGAAACAGCTAAAAAAAACTGGACAAATATGTATTAAACAATAGTTTTACAGACAGTGGGATGAGGCAATGAAAATAGTGATCCTTGAGTGAGAGAAAACAAACAAGATGATCCCTATAATTGCCTGAGCTGAATGCCTTCAAAGAGTTTACAGGCCACAACAAAAGGAGGCAGAATTCATGCAAAGCCAGGCAATCCACCTAAGTTAAGGAATAGATGTAGGAATCCGTGAAGACCGTATACTCTTGAGTTCACAGGGTAGAGTAACAGAGAGAGGAGAGTACCATAGAGAAGAGAGCTAAACAGAGAAAGAACTCTGAGATTTCCAGAAGGCTGCCCTCAACTCTGCATGCACATAGGGGAACTACCTGAAGCCAGGAAAAGAATCACTTAAAAGAATTAGAATAATCCCAGGCTCATACAGATTTGTGAAAAGCACCTATTCCCACCAACCAGACTGGGAAATGTCATAACTCAAAAGAGTTTTACCTCGATGTACACAGGAGAGATTTTTCCTAGAATAAGAGCTTCTCTGGCCCAGAATAAAAAGCTTAGGAAGACCCAAAAGTATCAAACTCTTTCCCAGTAACTTAATAATACCCTAAAACAAAGCTCAAAAATATTTACAGGAACCAGAAAATATCCAGCACCTAACAAGATAAAATTCACAATGTCTGGCATCTAATAAAAAATTATCAAGTATACAAAGGAGAGAAAAGTACTATGCATAATGAGAAAACTCTCAATCAAAACTGACCCATAAATGAAATAAATGATAAAATTAGCAGACAAAGATGCTGAAATATTTTTTATAACTGTATTCTGTATGTTCAAAAAGGCAGCAGAAAGAATGAACATGTTGGGGCTGGCCCCGTGGTCGAGTGGTTAAGTTCGCGCGCTCCGCTGCAGGCGGCCCAGTGTTTCGTTAGTTCGAATCCTGGGCGCGGACATGGCACTGCTCGTCAGACCATGCTGAGGCAGCGTCCCACATGCCACAACTAGAAGAACCCACAACGAAGAATACACAACTATGTACCGGGGGGCTTTGGGGAGAAAAATGAAAAAATAAAATCTTTAAAAAAAAAAAAAAAAAAAGAATGAACATGTTAAGTAGACATGTAAAAGATATTAAAAAAAAAAAAGACCTAATCCAACCTCTAGAGATGAAAACTACGGTATCCAAAAAGAAAATACACTGGATGAAATTATCAAGTCAGACATTGTAAAAGAAAAGATAACTGAATTTGAAGACAGAGCAATAGAAACTAAACAAATTTTTAAAAAAGGGGGCAAAAGACTGAAGAAAATGAACAAAGCAGCAGTGAGCTGTAGAATAACTTCAAGCTGCCTAATATATGGGTAACTGGAGTTCCTGAAGGCTAGAAGAAAGGAATGCAGAAAAATATTTGAAGAAATAATGGCCCAAATTTTCCAAATTTGCTGAAAACTTTAAGCTCACAAGTCCAAGAAGCTCAATGAACCCCAATCACAAGGAACATAGAGAAAATACTATCAAGGATCATTCAAGTCAAATTGCTTAAAACTAGAAATAAAAAGAAAAGAATTCTAAAAACAACAAAAGAAAAAAGACATTACACAGAGAAGAACACATGTAAGGATGACAGAAGATTTTTCGTTGAAGACAATGCAAACTGAAAGACAGTCCAGAAACATCTTTAAGGTACTAAAAGAAAAAACTGCTAACCAAGAATTCCATAAATAGTGAAAATATCCTTCAAAAATGAAAGCAAAATAAAGACATTTTCAAAAATATAAAAGAAAATGGAAAAATGTTAAAGGAAGTCCTTCAAGCTAAAAGAAAATGAAACTAGATGAAATTTTGATCTACACAAAGAAATGAAGATCCCTAGAAATTGTTAATATAACATAATTTGTTATAAATTATGTATTAAGTAAATATATATGTATATTTAAGTATGTATATATTTAAGTAAATATAATTTTTCTCCTATTGTTTAAATCTCTTTACTAGATAATCTACTGTTTAAGGTAAAAATAAGAACAATCCAGGATGAAGTCATAACCTATATAGAAATAAAATGTATGACAACAGCACAAAGATCAAAAGAGAGAAATGGAAGAACATTGCTAGCCAGACTGATCAAGAAAAAAAGACAGGGCAAGCCCAGTGGCACAGCAGTTAGGTTAGCACGTTCCACTTTGGCGGCCTGGGGTTCACTGGTTCAGATCCCAGGTGCAGACCTATGCACTGCTTGTCAAGCCATGCTGTGGCAGGTATCCCACATAAAAGTAGAGGAAGATGGGCATGGACGTTAGCTCAGGGCCAATCTTCCTCAGCAAAAAAGAGGAGGATTGGCAGCAGATGTTAGCTCAGGGCTAATTTTCCTCAAAAAAAAAAAAGAGAGAGAACAAAGACAGAAGGTACAAACTATCAGTATCAGGAATGAGAAAGGTGACATCAATGAAGATTCTACAGATATTCAAAAGATAGTAAGAAAAAATCATTAAAAATTATTAATGCCCATAAATTCAATAATTTAGATGAAATAAAGTAGACAAATTCCTTGAAATATAGAAACTACTAAAGATCACTCAAGAAGAAATAACCTTAATAGTGAAAAATTACCAAATTGTACACTTTAAATATGTATATTTATTGTATGTCAATTATTCACCAACAAAGGTGAATTGATATTTGTTGGAACATTTTGCTAACTGTTGGTGAGATTGGCTGTAAAAATCACCATATCTCTTAGAGAGCCATCAGCCTACAGCCTATATAATGGTTGATTGAAAAAATAAACTTTATATCTGGTATCTGGTTAGCCAAATTGTCCTAATCCTTAAAAGTGTTATTTTCCTTGATACTTTTTCCGCATTCACAATTCCCTATTTACTCATACTCATCTTAACAGTGAGAAATAACCCCACCACAGGTACAACATGCCAATTCAAACAGGAGTGGTAAAGAATAGGCATTTCTGACATAACAGGCACTTCTAACTTTTGAGAGGTCAATATGTTCTCTCCCCAGAAAGCAACTATGTATCTAGACAAAACTGTCAAAAACAACCATTTTGTCATTTTGGATATCAACCAAAAACTGAGAAACATTTATTCATTAAAACTATTAAACTTAGGATAAGAACAGCTCAAGTCTTTGATATTCTTGCCTAGGGTTGCTCCCATCCTCCATGGTACTGTAGTACAACCAGAGTGAAGAAGGTTATGAAATCAACACCTTTGCTGCTACTGCCAGGAGGAGCTCATTTGATTTGGAAAATAGCCATTTAAAGTGGTGATCTCAGCAGAAGGTAAATATTGAGGGCTAGTGGTCAAATTGGTGGACTAAGCAGGGATTTAATTGTATAACCATAGTGGTCTTAACAAGCTCTCCTTTCATCCTAGATTAACCAGAGGCTATGAGCATACACAGCAGAGATCAGACTGAGCCCAAGCCACCCACACATCCCTGGTCAATGGAGTCTATATGTAGATGCAGAGGAGACATATGAGAGCCCAGTGGAAATTAAAGGCTGGGGAAAACTGGAAAATGGTCTGAGTTTGAACACACCACAACCAAGAAAGATTTATTAGCAGAGATTGAAATTCTTACTCTTTGAGGCATCTAAGCACAAACTCTGACTAATATTTGATGGAATATTAAGTTATGTAATCACAGGGGCAACACCTTGAGAGCCAGACTTAAAAGTAAAATCAAGAACAAAAAAGTGAGCAAAGATATCAACAGCTACACATTGCAAGAGACAGACATTACTGATTTAGTCCAGTCAGATTTTAAATGAGCAAACAAACAAACAAAAATAACAGTAACTCTGGGGTAGGGAGGTGAAGGTGAAATCCAGAGTTGCTACATTATAACAAAATATACAGTATCCAACAAAAAAATTATGAGATGTGCATACAAGAAAGTATCACCCATACTGAGGGAAAAAGCAGCACTAAAACTGCCTCTCTGTGCCCCGAGATGTTAGAATCAACAGACAAAGACTTCAAAGTAACTATTATAAAAATATTCGAACTAATGTAAAATCATGTTTAAAAAATTAAAAGAATATCCAAAATACACAAGGAACTCATACATCTCAACAATAAAAAAACCAACAATCCAATTAAAAAATGGGCAAAAGATCTGAACAGAGATTTCTCCAAAGATATACAGATGGCAAACAGGCATATGAAAAGATGCTCAACATCATTAGCTATCAGGGAAATGCAAATCAAAACTACAACGAGATATCACCTCACTCCAGTCAGAATGGCTATAATTAACAAGTCAGGAAACAACAAGTGTTGGAGAGGATGTGCAGAGAAGGGAACCCTCGTACACTGCTGGTGGGAGTGCAAACTGGTGTAGCCACTATGGAAAGCAGTATGGAGTATCCTCAGAAAATTAAGAATAGATCTACCATATGATCCAGCTATCCCACTGCTGGGTATTTATCCAAAGAACTTGAAAACACAAATGCATAAAGATACATGGACCTTTATGTACATTGCAGCATTACTCACAACAGCTAA